TATGAGTATCAATAGTTCCATAAGATCGGGCATAAGCTAAGATATCGTGAAGATTTGAACCTTAGCGTAGTGGTTACACATCCGATTTTATAATGGTGACTCGTAGTCTTGTACCCTATCTCAGACAGTATAGCACAACATATCTTTTTCATTGAGTTGTATTCTCTTCTTAGCCCGTGCGTTTATGGCCCTGCATGTTAATTGTTATATGGGTTAAGTGAACTCTCTAGCAACTTTGTGCCTCCAAATTTCTATAGGGAGTGGCCCCACTCCCACATTCACATAGGCAAGTCTATCATAAGTACCCCCAAGTAAAGTACTTCACTCCACATAGAGTATAGACCTCATTAAGAGTTACTATGAAATCAAACTACAAGGCTTAAGGATTCATGTTTCACTATGCATGAAATTTTCTCAATATTACTCATGATTTGTTATTACCCATTGAACCCTTTTTTTTGTATCTCCAGTCTATCAGTACGGATTACCGTCACCTGTAATCTATGGTTCGGTAGGCATAGGTCTCATACCCTTGGCGATATTCTGGACTTTCTCTCTAGGTAAGCCTTTCGTCAAAGGATCAACTAGATTCTGTCCGTATCTTACATGATCCACACTTACTGATCCTATCGTTAGGAGTTCTCTTACAGTACTGTACTTACGATTAGTTTTTCATTTCTTTTCGTTATAGAACAGGTTCTCCACTTTAGCAATAACTTCGGTGATATCATAATGGATCAATACCGGAGGGATCAGTCTTTCCCATAAGGGAATCTCTGACAATAGTCCTCTTAACCAACTCGCTTCTTCACTAGCCATTGCTAGTGCTATCATCTATGATTCCATAGTTGATTGGGGTAGGATTGATTGTTTCTTAGACTTCCAAGATACCGATCCTCCAGAGATATTAAAAACATACCCACTAGTTGCCTTGGAATCGTCTGATAGGGTATTCCAGTTCGCATCACAATACCCTTCTAGTAATGCAGGAAACCTTTGATAGTGTATACCAAGGTTCACAGTTCTCTTGAGGTATCTAATGACCCTCTCGATAGTATTCCAATGCTCCTTAGTAGGACAAATATTAAATCTTCCTAGCAATCCCGCGACATATGCTATGTCTGGTGGAGTGTAATCCGCTGCATATCGCAAACTGTCAATGATACTATCTTATTCAGATTTCCTTACACTATCTCCTATGTTCTTAAATAGCTTAACACTAGCATCAAACGGAGTACGCGCGGGTTTACAATCAAAGTACTTATACTTCTTCAAGATCTTCTCTAATAGCTAGATTGATCTAGAATAACCATTTGTTGTTCTAGTTATCAGGATACCAAGCATAAACATAGCTTCACCCAAATCTTTCACCTCAAAGTTCTCTCTCAACATGGCTTTTGCATCATTGACCACGTGAATATTTGTACCAAATATCAACATGTCATCCACATACAAACATATGATAGTGCAAGTGTTATTTTCTAACTTGTAATAAATATACTTGTCACTTTCATTCACCTTCAAGCCATGTGAGAGAACCAAATTGTCAAACTTCTCATGCCACTGTTTTGAAGCTTGTTTCAAACCATACAATGATTTGTCTAACTTACAGACTTTCGAGGCATGTTTGGGAATAACAAACCCTTCAGGTTGCTCCATATAAATTTCGTTGTCTAAATCACCATTCAAGAAGGCTATTTTAACATCCATTTGGTGTACCATGAAATTTTTCAAGGTAGCAAGAGCAATCATGATACGAATGGATGTTACTCTAGATACTGGTGAGTAGGTATCGAAGAAATCTATATTCTCTCTGCCAATAGCCTTTAACTACTAGGCAAGCTCTAAACTTATAAATTGAGCCATCGGGTCTCAGTTTGACTCTTAGAAACCATTTATTACCCAAGACATTATAATCTGGAGGTAAGTCGACAAGATGTCAAGTCTTATTCGCCTTTAAAGAATCCATTTTTTCTGTAATGGCTTCATCCAACAAGTCTGCATCTACGAAAATCAATGGTTCCTACAAACTTTTAAGGTCTTCTATGGTGTATACTGTAGTAAAGTCATCACCAAAATCTTTGTAGATTCTAGCTCTTTTACTTCTTATGAGTTCATCCTCACATCCAACACCCCCACTAGTTTTGTTATCTATAGTAGCAAGTAGTACATTACCCCCACTATTTTTCGTTTAAATGGAAATGACATCTCAAGGAAATGAGCATCAATGGATACTTCTTATAGGGCGAGCATTCAAATCATAGAATCTTTATGCCTTACTATTCGCTGCATATCCAACGAAAACACATTCATATGCTCGACAAGCCAACTTAATCCTCTTAGGATTTTGAATTCTTACGTAGGCTAAACAACCCCACATTCTTTAATAGGACAAATTTGGTGACTTATTCTTCAAGATCTCATAAGGTGACTCTTTTCTATTTGTTTTTGGAAGACGATTAAGTACATAACAAACAGTCAACCAATTATAATCCCACCAAGAAGAAGCAACACCAGAATTAAGCATAATCGCCACAGCTAACTCTGTAAATGTCCTATTTTTTGCTCAGCTTTACCATTCATCTATGGCGAATACCATGTGAGCTATAGAATTCCTTCAAGGGATTAGAGCATACTCTCATCCTTTATCACTCCTAAGTTGTTTTTATTTTTCTTTTGCACTGATTTTCAAATTCAACCACAAATACGTTAAACATATCAAGGGCATCACTTTTGTTTCTCATAAAGTAAACAAAGAAATAATAAGAGCAATCATCTACGAACGTCATAAAGTATCTCTTGCTTGTCCTAGTTAACTTCCCATATAGTTTACAAATATCAGAATGAATAAGATTTAGGGATCTGATTCTCTAACTACAGATTTATGAGGAATTTTCGTTATCTTTGCTTGGCTACAGAAATCAAATTCATTCATTTAGAGTTTAGAGATTTGTCCTCGAATGCTCAAATTCTTTATAATTTGTGTGTTCACATGACAAAGACGAGCATGTCAAACATTCAAATCACATGCCATGTAAACTAAAGAATTCATCTTATTAACTTCAACAGTCAACTTAAACATTCCACCATAAGCATATCCCTTTCCCATAAAACTCTCATTCTTAGTACGAGTATACAAGTCAGCCCCAATAGTTTGATTAAACATAGCCTTATAAAGAAGATACCCTAAAACAAGATTCTTCCTTATCTCTAGAGTGTTCAACACGTCTTTGAGCACCAACGTCTTTCCAGAGGTAAAGTTCAACTCTATTTCCCAGAACCAACAACCATAATGGTGTGGGCAGTCCCCAATAGCACTCTCTTGTCAGCAAGTGAAAGCAAACGAAACGTGCACAGAGAATCACAAGACATACTCAAGGTTCGCTGCACTAGAGTCACTGAATGATGAGCTGCGTGAGCATGTAAAGGTTTTGAAGGAGGCAAATAACAAGGGTCATGGTGATGAGTGTGTGGTGGAGGGAGAAGGAGCGCATACTACTATGGATCTTGCCCATGCACAGATAAATCTCATGCAAAGAATAGAGATGTTGCCTTGGGCGCTACATATGGGAAGAAGGCTCGGAATTGGACAAAAGAGGGAACGAGAACTAGGAGCATGATCAAAGAGGATAGAATCTAGCAGGTCATTAGAGGATTTCTAAAACTTCGGGGCATGGCAGTAGCAATAACAACAAAATAAGAGAGAATCCCAAGTCCCAAGGAAAGAAGGCTGAGAGCTCCAAGGATAGTTTGCCGCAACACCAACACATCCAGAAAGCGACCACCATTGGGAGGCGGATTCCAACAAGGTCCCCAATGAAAACCACAAACATGAATTCACCCAGGAATTCAACACAACTTGTTGCCAGGAGTCTTGACCTCAATGGTGCAGCTACTAACCTCCCATCAAATGGACAAGGTGATGGGCGTCTTGGTGCATCTTCCAAAAGATATTTGTGCAACGCATCAGGCATGGATGTGTAACGTCCTTGAGTCTTCCTCCAAGGGAGTGTCTTTCCTTTCCTTTTCCGTTTTACCAGAAAACATGGTATCAAAGCGTGAAACTCACCATCCTTGACTTCTCTATTTCTTGTTCTTCCTTCGTGGGTTTCCAGAGACAAAAACATCTCGTTTGTTCTCTTTGCCTCTTCTTCTCAATTGTTCTCAATCGATCGATTGGTCTAGTTCCGTTTACCATTCCTATTTCTCTGCTCATTTGTTCGTTCTTCTGATTTGGTAGTTTCTTCCTCCGATCGTTGATTCCATCATTTCTCTGCTTCGATCAAGATCCAGATCTAGTTCAAAGGCAAGTTTTATGATGATTTCCGCTATTTCTAGGACTCCTCCTATCGCTGGTACGACTTCTGTAGCACGTCCTCCGCCACCGCTAATTCAGACAGCGAGATTTTGATCGCCGTGAATCTATCACTAGCGCATCCTTTCTACATCGCTAATGGCGATGTTCCCACACTCCAACTCGTCATTGTGCCTTTGACCGGAGCAAACTACCATTCCTAGGCGCGTTCTATGCGCATGAGTCTTCACACCATGAACAAGCTCCAGCTGATTGATCCTCGCGCTCTGGTTCCGTCACAAGATGATTTGCTGCGGAAGGCCTGGGATCAAGCGAAGATGCTTGTTCTTGGATGACTTAATAGATCCGTTTCTCCAGAAATCGCGCACAGTATTCACTAGTTCAACACTGCCGTTGAGGCTTGGGAGGATTTGCGGGAAAGATTTTGTGAAGGGAATTAGGGAACGAGGTTCGTATATCCAACCTCTATGATGAGATTTCCGCTCTAAAACAAGGCTCTTAGACTGTAAGTGCGTATTTCACTCATTTTCAAGTTCTACGGGCGGAATTGTTGATCTTGCGGCCCCTTCCTTCCTGATCATGCATTCCTCGTTGTGTTTGTACTGCGACATCCATTCCTAGAGAATACATGAGCAAGGATCAACTGATTCGATTTCTCAAGGGATTAAATAAGAATTTTTCTAGCGTGAAATCTCATTTTCTATTAATGGATATGTGACTCGACTCTACTGTCACCCTAGGAATTGGCCAAGTGTAACCACTTCCTAAAGCGTAGTATAGCGGGTTTGGGTTTAATTATCAACCCGGGTCCTAGATATGATGACTACTCAGTGAATTTGTGTTATCTAGCAATGAAACTGGAATGCAAGTCTAAACTACCAAACAAACAAAGCAAAGCAGGTAAACGGTTGTATTCAAGTTAAGAGAGGTCACCCGAATATGGTTCCCCCTAGACTGCAGTTAAGCCGGATTGTAATTACCAAGTTCAGTTTCTATGACAGTTATACTGCGGAAGGTTCTTAAACAGCCTGAAGTCTCGACTAAAGGTCTTCAGACCCTCTCAATCTGACTCTCTAGCGGGTGACTAACCTCCACCGGAGTCGAAAGATTGAGGCCCTAAGAACAAAACCTCCACTACCGAAGTAAATCCGTTACAGAATAGTGAGTTGGCTTCTCGACTAAAGTCACCAACTCCCTACCTTCAATCAAGGATACTCTATTAACGTAGGCATATATTCTCATTCTAGGTTAAAGCAGAAACAACAGGAATTTGATCAGGATTCAAGTCATTCAATCATTAAAACCTCAATCGAATATAATCAATCACAGAATCAGTACTTGGGTTCATACAATCAAAGCCTAACATACAAATCTAGGGTTCTCCATACCCAGATGAATGAGAGAACTACTCCATGGAGAAGAAAGCAAAAGCAGAATCAGACACGGAATTCATACTGCGAAGGATGGATTCCTGCTTCTGGACGTTGATCGGCACTTCTCCAAGCTCAAACTGGCCTCCAATGGTGTTGAAGATCAATCTAGGGCACTTGGGAACTCTTGCTCGTCACTTTCTCTCTCTAGGAACTGATCTCTCTCTCCAAAACTCGAATCCCCTTGACTTGTGGCTGAAAATCTGCTTAAAAGCATCAGTGGCCAAAGCACGGTCGAGGGCACGGCCGTGCTTTGCCTGACTCCGCCCGTGCCTCGGCCAGGGCTTAATTACACGGCCAACAAGTGGGTTAAACACGGCCGTGCTTTGGTGGAACACGGCCGTGCTTCGGTGCCCGTGTTTGCAGCTGAATTGGCCAAACTGAATTTGCTCTCGGCATAAAAAGCACGGCCAGCAGTACACGGCCGTGTAATTCCTTGGGCTGCCCGTGTTTTGGCTCCAGCTCACCGAAATGACTTCCAAATGCCCCGAAACTCGCGGTTAGCCTTCCCTTTAACGCCTGGAACCTGAAACATGACAAAATAGCACAACCCGGCGTAAAATAGGCCAAAACACACGACTATGCCCCTCAAATGGATAAGAACTAGGGGCGCAAACATGTGCATTTACATCGTTATCAAATTCCCCCACACTTAACCGTTTGCTTGTCCCCAAGCAAACCTAACTCAAACCAATGCAACTCTTCAGACCTCCATAGCAACAAACAACCCTGATCGTAGGTAGAGGACTTCCTAGATCATTTAGCAACTTACGAGGTCAACCGATGCACAAGTCATCTCATAGCTTCTTCGGCGAGAGCACTAATATCGAGTCGGCATCATGGCAAAAAGTGAACAGAGGAAAAATGAATCGTGGATGGAGAGATTATCAAAAACAAAGGATCATGGACTCACATTTTTCAAGGTGCTCGATTTTCTTTGAAGATGGTTGGAACCCCTTTTTTCTGTTTTGCTTGTTTTCTTTTTTTTTTCTTTTCTTTTTTTTTTCTTTTCAAGGGTCCCAACCTGCTCTTACCGGCCATGCCGGGAGTGGATGTCTCGAGCCTCGTGTGGGGGAAAGACATGTAAGGGGGCTGGAGGTAGTAGGTGGAAATTGGGAACGAATTCCCGTCTCCCCTTACACACTTTCGCCCTATTCGCACGGGAGACGTTTATTTTCAAGCACATTTTTGAGCACCTGTTAAACTCAAAACATGATACAAGAGTCCATGATAGGTAGAGAATCCACAACACCACACAATTCAAGGGTCCTAAGATCACTAATTCACTCAATCAACCAACTCAATATGAAGAAGAAATGAGACTCCTTATATGCATCAACATCCTCCATAGTGCTACACTACCTCCCTAGGTTGCATATTACTATAAAGACTGTCAATTCAAAGCATACTGAGCAGGCAATTGCAAGGAAACACGTACTTGGAGCCCTCAAATTTAAAAATTTGGACAGTGGACTAGGCTCCAAGCACACAAACAGATCTAATGCAGTCAAAAGATAAACACCCCCCACACTTAAGATCGACATTGCCCTCAATGGAGAAGAGGGAAGGATAAGGGAACGATGTTACCGGTATGCACGGACTGCAGGGGACTGGAAACGGGCCAGTCGGGGCAAGCACAGCCAAAGGGAAACAGAAGAGTTCAAACACAATATGTTAGGTTCAATGGTCAACCCAATAAAATATCATCCAAACCAAAAGAAAACAAACCAAACCCAAACCGGGTTACAATCCGACTCAAAACACAAGAAAGAAAATCAAACCATGGTGGGGTTGCCTCCCCACAAGCGCTTCTTTACCGTCTTTTAGCTGGACGCCCATGGTGGATCCTCAGGGCGGTGCAGGAACAGGTGCCTCCAAGAGCGGATCCACGTCGCTCTTGAGGTACAGCTTGAGGTTGTGGCCGTGCACCCGACGGATGCGACCACCCTCATCAGTCAGCTCGACCTGCCCATCTGGCAAGATGCAGGTGAGCGAGTACCCGGACGGCCAGGGTGGTCGTGGTGCAGGAGGTGGGACCAGCTCATAGTGGTCTCCACTCTTCTTCCGTGCAGGCTTAGCAACCTGCTGCTTCGGCCGCCACTCCTCCTTGAGCTTTTTGTTCGGAGGTGAGGCTGGATGGAGTGGCGGCGAAGGAATGATAGGAGGGTCCTGCAAAATAGGAGGTGCAGAAGGATACACGACAGGCTCGTGCACCTGATCAGACATAGCATGCACAGGCGTGACATCAATCATAGCACAATGATCAAACTCAGTCACAGAAAAAGTAGCCTGTTCATTCCCAGCACGCAAGATCAATTTACCATCATGCACATCAATAAGTGCCTTGGCGGTGGCAAGAAATGGCCTACCTAGAATCAAAGGCACATCCACATCCTCATGCACATCAAGAATAACGAAATCAACAGGATATGTGAATGCACCGACACTGACAAGCAAATCCTCTATGATTCCCCTAGGATGCACAATGGAACGGTCAGCGAGCTGAATGCTCATCCTAGTAGGGCTAAGTTCACCTAAGTCTAGCTTCTTAAACAACTTATATGGCATGACGTTTATGCTAGCACCTAGGTCCGCCAAGGACTTGCCTACATGCATGCTGCCAATAGTAAGAGGGATAGTAAAGCTCCCTGGATCTTTGCGCTTCTCGGGCAGCTTGTTCTGCAGGATAGCAGAACACTCCTCGCTCAGCATCACTGTCGAGAGATCCCCAAGTTTCTTCTTGTTGGTGTAGATATCTTTCATGAACTTGGCATACTTGGGCATCTTCGACAGTGCCTCCATGAACGGTATGCTGATGTTGAGCTGCTTCAACATTGCCATGAACTTGGCAAACTCAGTCTCCAGCTTGTCCTTGTGTAGGCGAGTGGGGAAGGGAAGCTGGGGTACATGCTCCTTAACCACTGGTTGTGGCTTGGGAGCAGGGGCTTCCTTCTCCACCCGCACTTCTGCATCGTCGGCTGGAAGTGCTGGAGCAGGCAGTGGTTCCTCCTGTCTGGCCGGGACAGGATCAGCAGATATGGTCTTACCGCTCCTGGTAAAAATGGCATCCAGCTGCTGATGCTGGTGAGGATCTCGAGGATTAGGAACAGTGGTGGCAGGCAGAGTCCCCGGTGCCTTGGTGGTGCTCTGGCGGGCCAAGATGCCCACCTGGGTGCTAGTCATGAATGAAGCTAGAATGTTTTCCAGCTTCGTCATCCTGTCATCTGGGGCCGGAGCTGCTGCTGGCTCGGCAAACTGGCGCTGGGGCTGCTGCTGTGGGTCTGGCCCCTGGCGAGCCTGGAAGGGCTGCCTCTGCTGGAAACCACCTGCTGGTGCTGGGAAACCAGGTGGTTTAGTGGTGTTGCTGCTCCAGGCGAAGTTGGGATGCTGGCGCCACCCCTCATTATATGTGCTACTGTATGGATCGAGGCGCCTCGCATTAGCGATGAAGGCCAACTGCTCCTGGGGTGTGGTAGACTCCCTCATAGCCTGGCAGTCCTCCACTAGGTGACTAGAGCTCTCACACCACTGACACTGAGCAACTGGAGGTGTAGCCAAACCTCTGCCTGGAATCAGACTATTGGGTTGCTTCAATGTCTGCACTAGCTCAGCTACCTGCTGCTCGAGCCCGGATCTGGTCTCCATGGCGTGCACACCACGGTCCCGGGACTGTCTGCCTCGGCTACCCTGTCCCCACGAATGATCTCTGGCAGCCAAAGTACTGATCATCTGGTTCAGCTCGGGTGGAGTCTTAGTGAGAATATCTCCTCCTGGGCATAGAGACTCAATCACCCTCTGGCTATCTGGAGAAAGGGCACTGTAGAAGTTCCCCACTGTGAATACATCGCTGAAGCCATGATGGGGGCACTGCCAGAAATAGCCCATATACCGCTCCCAAGCATCACGAAGTGACTCCTCTGGCTCCTGGCGGAAGTGAGTGATCTCCCGCTGAATCTCTGTAGTCTTCGATGCCGGATAATACCTGTGCACGAATTTGTCCGCCAGATCGTCCCAAGAGGTGATGGACAATGGGGGCTGGGTCTCCAACCACCTCTTAGCATTCCCCGCCAGAGAATGGGGGAAGAGATGAAGGCGGATCGCATCATCCGGGACACCATTCAGCTTGAACCCGTTTGTCAGCTGTAGAAAACGGGAAAGATGCACCCTGGCCTCCTCATTCTTCAAGCCATGGAACTGGATAGAAGATGTAATGAGCTGAATCCAGCATGGCTTGATCTCGAAATTGTTTGCTGGAATAGGCGGGTAGAGGATGACCGGGCGGATGTCAGCAATCCGCGGAGTGTAGTAGTACTCCAAGGTGGGGCCCGGCTGCGGGGGATGATGAACTCCATGGTCCTGGGGTATGGGGTTGTTCCCCAGGACCTGATTCACCGGGGGAACCTGCTGTGGATTCCCCTGGTGCTGGTTGTAGTCTCCGTCCATCCCGTGCTCTTCTTCAGAATCGCTACTCAGGTGGCCGTCTATGCGCTCTTCCGTAGCCAGTCTAGCTCGCTGTTGTCTCCTGAGCTGGCGACAGGTGCGGTCAATCTCTGGATTCAACGGCAGTAAACCTCCTGACTGGCTACGGGTCATGCACTACCTGCACACACTCAAGCAAGCAAACCCGTGAAGGCACAAGTGGGACAAAGCAAACAAAGCAAAAAGAAAAGCTAAATTAACAGAAATCACTTTTCTTCAACAACCTAGCCGTCCCCGGCAACGGCGCCAAAAACTTGACTCGACTCTACTGTCACCCTAGGAATTGGCCAAGTGTAACCACTTCCTAAAGCGTAGTATAGCGGGTTTGGGTTTAATTATCAACCCAGGTCCTAGATATGATGACTACTCAGTGAATTCGTGTTATCTAGCAATGAAACTGGAATGCAAGTCTAAACTACCAAACAAACAAAGCAAAGCAGGTAAACGGTTGTATTCAAGTTAAGAGAGGTCACCCGGATATGGTTCCCCCTAGACTGCAGTTAAGCCGGATTGTAATTACCAAGTTCAGTTTCTATGACAGTTATACTGCGGAAGGTTCTTAAACAGCCTGAAGTCTCGACTAAAGGTCTTCAGACCCTCTCAATCTGACTCTCTAGCGGGCGACTAACCTCCACCGGAGTCGACAGATTGAGGCCCTAAGAACAAAACCTCCACTACCGGAGTAAATCCGGTACAGAATAGTGAGTTGGCTTCTCGACTAAAGTCACCAACTCCCTACCTTCAATCAAGGATACTCTATTAACCTAGGCAGATATTCTCATTCTAGGTTAAAGCAGAAACAACAGGAATTTGATCAGGATTCAAGTCATTCAATCATTAAAACCTCAATCGAATATAATCAATCACAGAATCAGTACTTGGGTTCATACAATCAAAGCCTAACATACAAATCTAGGGTTCTCCATACCCAGATGAATGGGAGAACTACTCCATGGAGAAGAAAGCAAAAGCAGAATCAGACACGGAATTCATATTGCGAAGGATGGATTCCTGCTTCTGGACGTTGATCGGCACTTCTCCAAGCTCAAACTGGCCTCCAATGGTGTTGAATATCAATCTAGGGCACTTGGGAACTCTTGCTCGTCACTTTCTCTCTCTAGGAACTGATCTCTCTCTCCAAAACTCGAATCCCCTTGACTTGTGGCTGAAAATCTGCTTAAAAGCATCAGTGGCCAAAGCACGGTCGAGGGCACGGCCGTGCTTTGCCTGACTCCGCCCGTGCCTCGGCCAGGGCTTAATTACACGGCCAGCAAGTGGGTTAAACACGGCCGTGCTTCGCAATGTACACGGCCGTGCTTTGGTGGAACACGGCCGTGCTTCGGTGCCCGTGTTTGCAGCTGAATTGGCCAAACTGAATTTGCTCTCGGCATAAAAAGCACGGCCAGCAGTACACGGCCGTGTAATTCCTTGGGCTGCCCGTGTTTTGGCTCCAGCTCACCGAAATGACTTCCAAATACCCCGAAACTCGCGGTTAGCCTTCCCTTTAACGCCTGGGACCTGAAACATGACAAAATAGCACAACCCGACGTAAAATAGGCCAAAACACACGACTATGCCCCTCAAACGGATAAGAACTAGGGGCGCAAACATGTGCATTTACATCGTTATCAATATGCTTCCCTCTATCAATAGAGTCTTCTCTGGACTCGTTCAACAAGAGAGGAAATGTGCCAGTTCTCAGTGGCCTCTGGTTTCCCTTGCTAGTCAAGGATCTACTACTCCTAATCAGCATGGTGCTGCTTCCAGCCAAGCTAATGCGGCTCACAATCATGGTGGTGGTCGAAAAAGACCCTTATGCACTCATTGCGGCATCTACGACCACACCGTTGACAGGTGCTACAAGGTTATAGGTTATACAATCTAGATACACATCACATTTTCTACTCATGTGATACTGTATTTCATGAACACGTTTTTCCATTTCTAAACATGACATATCACCTGGACTTTGATGCTTGTTTTCCTAACATTCTAGTTCTAGATTATGTTTATATTCCAGAAACACAAACTGTTTCTACTAATTCTCCTTCTCCTTTACCTCCCGAGGAACCTAAAACCGACCTTGTAGATATTATTCAAGCGGTTGAACCGCCTCCTAATATCCGCCCTCCAAGACTCAAGGTACAACCTCAGAAACTCAAGGATTTTGTGTGTGATTTCCCATCTTCTTATGTTTCGTACCCACATAATACATACGTGCCACTTCTGAAATTCTTGAACCTCGTACTTATAAAGAAGCCATACAAGATCCTCGCTGGGTTGAGGCATGTAATCTAGAACTAGCAGCACTAGACAAAACCAAGACATGGACAATTGTTTAACTCCCTGTAAGTAAAATTCCTATTGGCAACATGTGGGTGTTCAAAATAAAATTTCTTGCTTCAGGTGTTATTAAGCGTTTTAAATCTCGTCTAGTTGCTAAGGGTTATACTCAAACATCGGGTTTAGATTATTTAGAGACTTTTGCTCCAGTTGTGAAGCATACTACATTGTGTTTAGTTCTTTCATTGGCTGCTATTAATGGCTTGTTCTTGCATCAATTGGATGTTAATACAGCCTTTCTTCATGGAGATTTAGATGAAGAGCTATACATGAAAATACCACTAGGATTGGTTGTTCCTTCTCATTTCAAAAATCTTGTTTGTCGTTTTAATAAATCGCTTTAAGGTTTAAAACAAGCTAGTCGTCAATGGAATATCAATTGGGTAAATGCCACATTTGGTCACTGAGATTACTAAATCATGTCATGTTTATTAAAAATTAATATCAATTTTGGTCACTTTAATTACTGAAACATGTCACATTTTGTCACTCTCTCGTTAGTGTACATGTTTCAATAATTCGAGTGACATTCATAAAGAAAAAGTAATTCGAGTGACCTGGAGTTGGATGGAGGCTAACGGGAGAGTGACTAAATGTGACCTATTTTAGTAATTTGAGTAACAAAATTTTATACTAATTTTTTCTAGTGACTAAGCATAACACGATTTAGTAATCCCAGTGACCAAATGTGGCATTTACCAATATCAAATTGACTTCTTTTCTTACTTCTGCCAGTTATAACAAATCCAAAGCGGATTATTCTATGTTTGTTAGGAGTGTAGGTTCTTCGTTCACTGTTGCATTAGTGTATATTTATGACATTATTTTAGCTGGAAATGATTTGAATGCCATTTCTACTATTAAAGTCAAACTTGATCAGACTTTTACTATCAAGGATTTAGGTGAACTAAAGTACTTTCTTAGACTTGAAATTGCTAGATCTTCTAAAGGTATTATGTTGTGTCAACGAAAGTTTGCATTGGATCTCTTAACAGACAATGGTTTCTTGAGTGCAGAACCGACTGATTCACATTATGTTCCCGGTCCTAAGGTGTCTGCTAAATCGGGTAATCTCTTCCTAACCCTTCTTACAAAAGACTCATAGGTAGACTTCTATACCTGTGTAATACATGACCAGACCTTGCCTATTCAGTACATCAATTAAGTCAGTTTACACACTCACTACAACAAATTCGGCCTATTAGGACAAATATTTATTTTTGTCATTCTTTGTTTGTCATAATAGGTACTATAATTTGACAAAAAACTTATATGTCACATTTGGTACTCCTAATGTGACAAAATGTTGTTTTGTCATAATACTTTGTCAGTTAAAGTCTTTAATGTGACCAAATTTGTGTGTCATCATATGGTTTGTCAAAATAGGTAACCCACATCGGTATTTAAGAGACATAAAGTGACAAAATGTCATCGACAAAGTATCATTTGTCATATTATGTCTTTCTGAATTGTTTAAATGACAATTTGGTTTGTCACAATACACACCATAATCCCTCGCCAATCTGACAAAATGTAATGTTAGTGGTAATATAGTGGTTTTGTGTTGTGACAATGACATTTCGTCATATTTGGTTCTTTTTAGGCTGAAACCTCTTTCCCCTCGGGAAAAAATTATACTCCTTTCTTGTCTGCGCAGCGGATCTTCTTATAAAATTTTTTTTTGCGTAGTCGATCAATAACCCAATCCTCCACCAATTTTCCAACCACCGCGATCCTTTATCCGTCCTCCACCAATCGGCCCGGCCACTCACCAGCGGGTGTTCCGTCGTCGTCGCCGTTCCACCAATCGGCCCGTCACCACCACAGTTCAAAGATCCCCAATCTCCGCAACCTAAATTTGCGTAACAAAATCGCTGTAGCAAACTCGCTGTAGCAAACTCGCTGGTCTAGCAGAAACAGGTAAGCGTCTTCCCTCCCTCCCCTGGCTACTGTGTACTGCTTTAGCTTAAGAATATTCTGTTGGTTTATCTATCTGAATGAGCTCTTGTGTTTCCTCGTCATTGACTCGGTGGGAGGGGCTGATTATATCTTCGATCCTTCAACCATCCTTTTGTGCTAATTACAATAGAGAGAATGCACCCCAAGCACCAAGGAAAGGTAAAATTCGATTAATGTCTTGAATTTTAATTTATGTTTCACTTGAAATCGTGTAAGTCAACATGGTTCCTAATGTTTTGTCATATACCCTCTGCAGATCCTTTTCTAGTTCATCTCACGCTGTGCTTCCATCTTGACCAACTGCCTATAAAGGGAAGGTCAGTTTCTTTATGCACAGATTGAATGAGTAGAAATTGGATTAAGCTTAAGGATAGGTTCTGTGATGAATATCAAAAGGGGTTTCTGAGTTCATAGGGGCTGCCAGCAAACATGTTGATACGCTAGGTAGAACTAGATGCCCTTGTAAAAGGTGCAATAATAGAAACTTCAAGAAGCTGGAGATTGTCGCAGATGATATAACCAGGAATGGCATGGTGGAGACATATACTACATGGATCCATCATGGTGAGTCGTTTGACTTTGAGAGTACTAGTCATCAGCCTAGACAACCTACAGTTGTGTTTGAGAGTGACGGTTTAGAGGATGACATGGCTGATATGTTAGGGGATATGCTGCATGCTACTTCTGGAAATGCTCCTGTCATTGAGGGGTCAACAACACCAAATTATTCTAATCTAACAGACCTCAATGACAAATTGGCTCGGCTAATCCGTGATGCCAATTTGCCATTATACCCTGGATGCAAAGACTTTTCCATATTATCATTCGTTATGAAGCTGCTGAACAATAAACTGGTAACCAACAGTACTGACAAATCCTTCAACCTGAATCTGGACCTAGTCAAGAAAGCATTACCTGTTGGCGAGACGCTTCCTTCTTCATTCTATGAAGTTAAGCGGTACATGGGAGATCTTGGGTTCGGTTACACCACTATAGATGCCTGCCCAAATCATTGTGTACTCTATAGAGGTCCTCTAGAATCTGCCATTACATGCCCAAAATGCAATGAGCCTAGATACATACCTGGGAAACAAAATAATGTAGCACAAAGGAAAGCTAGGTATTTCCCACTAAAAGATAGGCTTCAAAGATTGTTCATGACTAAGGAAGATGCTAAAGACATGCGGTGGCACAAGGAATTGCGTGTTGATGATGATACGCTAAGGCATCCGGCTGATGCAAAAACTTGGAAACGGTTCGATGAGGATCATAATTGGTTCGCTGCAAACCCTAGGAATGTTAGGCTTGCTCTTCTGAGTGATGGGTTCAACCCTTTTGGTAACATGAGCAATAGTTATAGCATGTGGCCTGTCGTGGTAACACCATACAATCTCCCGCCTTGGAAATGTATGACCGAACCTTTTTTATTCTCACTGTCCTTATACCTGGAGAGAAATCGCCTGGTAATAACATACATGTGTACTTAGAGCCCCTAATAGAAATGCTGAGAGAGTTATGGGAGGATGGGGTCAGTACGTATGACGCACACTCAAACGAAACATTTCGTTTACATGTTGCGTTGTTATGGACAATAAATGATTTCCCAGCATATGGCATGCTATCGGGCTGGGGTACAAAGGGGAGATTAGCTTGTCCTGTCTGTAATATTGGGACATGTTCTGAACGTTTACATGCCAGTCATAAAGAGTGTTACATGGGGCATCGAAGATGGCTGCCAAGTGACCATAGGTGGAGAAAAAGCCGTAAATTTGATGGGAAGCATAAACTTAGAGGCAAACCAAGAGTGTTATCTGGAGATGAACTTTTGCAGCAAATTGAGAAGGCTTTTCAATATGATGTGGTAGTCAATGAGGGTGGGAAAAGGAAAAGGGGCTGTCTGATGATAATGTGCATAACTGGAAAATAAAAGCTTCATTTTGGAGTTTGCCATATTGGAAAACTATAGAGTTGAGGCATAACTTAGATGTAATGCATGTTGAAAAAAACATTAGTGAGAATGTGATAGCTACATGCTAAATATCGAGGGAAAGACCAAAGATACAGCCAATGCTAGACGTGATTTGGAAGACATGCGTATTAGGAAAGAGCTACATCTGGTGAGAGACGGTGATAAGTATAAAATGCCTCCTACTTTATACACCTTAAAAACCGCACAACGAAGGTCGTTTTGTGACCGTTTGAGGTCGATAAAGTTCCCAGATGCTTATGCATCTAATATATCCCGGTGTGTGACTACCGATGGTAGGTCAGTCACTGGAATGAAAAGCCATGATCACCATGTCTTCATCCAACGCCTACTTCCTGCTGCCGCACAAGGATTCCTGAGCAAAGAAGTCTATAATATATTGTCTCAACTTAGTGAGTTCTTTCGTGAGTTGTGTTCAAGAACGATTACCATTTCCACTGTCAGAAAACTCGCGGATAACATCCCAGTTATACTTTGTAACTTGGAAATGTTGTATCCACCAGCTTTCTTCGTCGTGATGATGCATCTGCCTATTCACCTTCCCCGCGAAATTGAGCTTGGGGGACCGGTGCAGTACCGCTGGATGTACCCAATGGAGAGGTACACACCGTGTCGAACCCATTAAATTTTTAACTGCTTGGGTTCCTTTATATAACGTAGCTAATTTTTGTATTCTGATTTTTTTTTGGGTAATTTTACTAGGTTCTTAGGAACTCTTAAATCATATGTTTCTAATAAGGCTCGTGCCGAGGGATCCATTGCCGAAAGGTATATAGCCAAAGAGTGTTCAGATTTCTGTTCTAGATATCTTAAAGGTGTTGAGACCTGAGCAAGTAGGCTAGACAGGAATGATGATGGGTTGGACGATGTAGATTATAATGGGTTTGATGTTTTCCGTCACCGAGGTAGATCTATAGGAGCTGCTAACTATGAGCCTATAGGCCAGGCTGAGTTCCATAAGATCCAATGGTATGTCTTCACTAATTGTGATGAAATTGAAGACCAATTGAAGTAAGTTTTTTTTTCTTCTTCTTTGTGTTCAGATTTCTGTTTTGTTTCTAAACCCCAGTTAGTTTTGTCTTCTTCTTTTTTTGTGCTTAATAAGTGCCATTACAGTGTGTATACGGAAGAGAGATTCTTGAGCTATCCAAATAGTACCCCATCATCCATTGCAGCTCACTTCCCATCTTGGTTTAAAACATTTGTAAGCGCCAACCTTTTCCATTCTTTTTTCTTTGTCTTACTCACAACATCATTTTCTTAAATTTTTTGCCCCTTTCATTTCGTTTTAGGTCTCCGAAAAGTTTTTGACTGGCACGCTTAAAGAGACTGACCATTTATATGTCCTAGGATTAGGGGCTGATGAAAGGATTACTAGATATCCTGGACTCATCATTAACGGGGTTCGATATCAAATAAATATGTCTGATGAAGGTCATCGAACTCAGAATAGTGGTGTCATGGTTAGGGGCGAGCACAATGGCGAGACTATAGAGTATTACGGGGTTCTGATCGAGATAATTAAGCTGCAATATTCTGGAGGGCATCGGGTCTTTATATTCAAGTGCGAGTGGTTCAATGTGGGTGACAAGATGAATGGAATAAGGACGGATGGACAATTGACGAGCATAAACATGGATCGAAAATGGGGTGCGGAGGACCCATATGTATTGGCCAGTTAGGCTAACCAGGTGTTTTACATTGCCGATATTAAGAATGGTGGTGCATGGCATATTGTCCACAAGGTATGTCCCAGAAGTTTGTACGATGTCCCCGAGAAGGAGGAAGCAATACATGGGGATCCATTGTCTGAAAATCAGCCATACCAACAGGATGTGGATCTTTCGGAATTTCATGTTAGTGAAAGTGAGTTACCGGATCTGAGTCGTGATGACGAGGCACCAACAATTGTTACTGAGACAGTGATACGATCATTTGATAGACGATCAGCATCAGTAGAAGCAAGCGATGATGACATCGACGACGACACATTGGATGACCATCATTTGAACAGTAATGATGTTGAACACCAAGATGGGTCTGATCCATCATTCAGAGACCAGGAAGAAGAAGGATAACAGTAGAAGCTAATTATAGTGGTTTTCACACAGTAGCAGATTATTGGTTGCGAGCTGTGTTTGTTTGCATATTTATTTGGTAAATATATGTGTACAGCTTTTTGCGGGCCTTAGATTCATTTTTGGTGATTTTTGGGTAGTTTAGAATAAGAAGATTGAATTTATATGAATGTTTACTCGAGGTGAATGGAGTCTGACAACAGGGTTTATTTTTTCGTTTTTGGGGTACTAATATGAACCCAGGCGATGCATAAACCCAGATTGTGTATTCGATCCTTTATTTTGAGGATGGATTGGGTTTCTGGTGCAGTTTGGTAGCTTTTGTGTAGGGCTTTGTCTGAGTTTTGTTAGAGAATTGAAATGAATGTGTGTGGTTATGAGCCCACATGATTTCGTGGATCACAGCCCACAATTGATTTAAGTCCCGAAAGGGCCTATTTTAAAACAACAAAGCGAAGACAAGGACCTTAGTCCTTCGTCTCTGTCAAAGGCAAACCCTAAAATCCTCTTCTTCGAACCTTCTCTCTCGCTACCTCTCCATTTGCGATTTCACTCTGACGATTCTTCCCCGTAATCTGCTCATCGCGCAAGTTCACGACACCAATCTGCTCATCGCTCAAGTTTGGGGACCCGTTTTACAAGTAAGCTTTCTTTTCCGAATCGCGATTCATTTCATACATGCTCTGCCGATTTGTGCCCTCGATGCGCGATTCCTGCCCTCGATTCGTGATTCCTTTCATTTGATTCGCGATTCCTTTCATTCGCGATTCCTTTCATTTGATTCGCGAATCCTGCCCTCGATTCGCGATTCCCAATTCGTTTAATTCTAGGGTTTCGTAGATGCTCTTCCGATTTGTGCCTCGTGTGAAGTCTCTGTTGCCCCTTCTTCGTTTTTTGCCACCTCTGCTTTGTAATTGTTTCACATGCAATCCTTGAGGACTTTGTTATCAGTTTGGTGAATTTGGGTCGAGGGTTGAGGTATTGTGGGCAATTCAGATTATGCAATTTTCTTCGCCAGTAATCTCATAGTTAGTTGGCTTTCGAAAAAGCAAAAGACTGTCTCGCGCTATTCTGCGGAAGCCGAGTACAGATCTATGGCTAGTTTAACTTTTGAATTAATATGGTTGTGGTATATTCTTCAGTATCTGCATGTTGATTTAGATGCTGCTACTCTAGTTTTCTATGACAATATGTCGACTATTAAATTAGCTGACAATCCTGTTAATCATGAGCGTACTAAGCACATAAAAATAGATTGTCACATCATTAGAGATCAAATATTGAATGGTGTTATTAAGGTTTTACTTGTTTCTTCGGCCAATCAATTGGCAGATATGTTCACAAAATCCATTCCAGTTGCTGTGTTTCAGTTTTTGCAGAACAAGTTGGGACGTTTGGATATCTACGTGCCAGCTTGCGGGGGAAGTTGTTCGAGGAAGATAAATCCGAGGACTAATTTCTAATTAATGTATAGTTATAGCCTATAAGACGGGTTTGTAATATTTCTTTATCTATTTGTTTAAATAGGACTTTAGAGATCTATATATATGTAATATTAACAAGGATATTGTAACTTTTTACTTGATGAAATAAAATGAAGTGCCAGGTGGCGTTTTCCGTTTTACAAGAAAGCTGTCTCCTCCCGCAACCATCACTCCATCCCCATTAACTGCCATCGCATTGACGATACCTCCCTTCTCCTCCTTCTCCCTCGCCATGTTGTACAGAAACTCGCCCCTCGGAAGGCCAAACTTCTTGAAGTTCTAATAGTCACTTGTGAAAGAAGAAATGTCCTTGCCTCCTCATGTCCCATTGTCCAACTACTCAGAGCCATTGCCATTCTGTATTCATAGTCGCGAGGATGAGATGGCTATGATCGAAGTTAAAATTTCAGGTTCATTTATCAGTCCCATCCTCCGGCTAAAACCTAGTAAGACAAGGTTGTCGGCTGCTTGTGGGAATCAAAGAAAGAAGTCAATCTTATAGAATAGAAGAAGACCAAAAGGAAAGAAGGAAATCAATGGAATAAAAAATTAAGATGAAACGAAAGAATGACTTGAAATTCTGCATTTACCTCTAGATTTGTATTCCGTACGAGTAGGGCATTTTCCAGTATCCAACTATTAGCAACGAAGATGATTGAGACCGGGAACGAACAGGCTTCCATGGTTGTAATTTGGATACAGACGGAAAATGAGTGGATAGAAGCTATTGTTGGTAGAACGCTAGGCCATTTGATGGAGAAAAGGAATAGGAGTGGAGACAAGGAAGATGAAAGGAGACAGAGAGTTCCGATTACATATTAAGACTATATATAAAAGGCAGATTGAAAGCTGAGGAGAGACAGGAACCCGACACCTGTCCAAATTACCTTTAATGCCCTTATAAGTTTGCTTTATTTCAAAATTGCCATGACTAATGTATTTCAATTTCCACTACCACAAGTCATAACCGTCGGCTTTCCTCTCAAGTCTCAACCACAATCACCTCACCGTCCTTAGGCAAACACGATCGATCGAATGAGGGAAGAGGTGTCGGAGATCAGAGGTTTTGCGAGTTTGATCTGGTAGTCTGCGTTGGGGACGGAGAGGGAGGAGACAACGAGGAACTGAAATCAATTATCACCAGCGAAAAAGGAAAAGGAGACGACAGGAAAATGACATCGTATTCTAAGACTTGGGACAATGAGTCGAAGATAGAGAAAGAGGGAAGCGAGGTAGAGACTGGGAACCAAAGTCAGGCTGCAGGCAGAAGCTGAAATGCATGGCGATGATCGAAGCCAGAGATGGGAGAATAGGATATGCTGCCGGCAATTCTTCCGATAGAGGGAAAGAACGGGAGAGTAGTTTGACAGTTAGCCGGTTAAGAAACTCTCTAGATCTTATTTTGATTTTTGATTTTCCATTATGGAGAAGGAGGTCTGAAGGTCGAATAAAGAGAGATTCCCCCCCCCCAGGTAATTTAAAGAGAGATTTTCTGGGTGATAAAGATTGAGGAATAAGTGAATTTGGACGTTTTATAAATATTCGTAAATGGGCTTACAACCAGAAAGCCCAGTCGAAGCGGAGCGAGACCTAATTTCACTAGTTAAGTGAAATTGGATCCTGTAAATATCTCAACTTGATTTTCACGACTAAGATAAAGTAGGAAATCTGCTATGAAAGAACGTTTGAAAGAGGCGGTACGCAATTTTTTCGAAAAATTCGTTGCTGTTTTATGTTATTAAATCAATAAATAAATTATTTATTTAGGAGTAGGAATACTTGATGATGGAAGGATAAGTTTTAATTAAGGGAAGCTAAAAATCAGAACTTCCATGATGGAAGGATAAGTTTTAATTAAGGAAGGTTAAAAATCAGAACTTCCAATAGGAAACAGAAAAAACCAATTTACATAAACAATAATTAGATGAAAATAGAAACACGTATGGAGGCAATTTTAAATATTGCCGTATATACTTGATTATTTTTTTGGTCTTCCTAGCTCATAAAAAAAAGTAGTAATAGCAGGCCATTTTTTTGCCTCTGAAACATTTTATTTAACAACAAATCGCTTCTTTGCCTCCAAAAGTTATACTAAGAGAATATAAAAATTCTATTTAATTTTATCTGTTAATTGTGAAATCAATTAAAATTACAAAGAAGGGAGACAGGAAACGCCGCCCAGCAAAAAGAAAAATGGGACGGAAAAGAAAACAGAAATTAAATAGAATTTTGGAGATGTGGTTTCACCCCTGTTCTTACACCGTTGGAGATGTGGTTTCTCGTGTTTTAGACCGATTTCACGCTAGGTTGTGCTTGTTTGTGATATTTCAGGTCCTGGCAAGTGAATGAAGGTTTAGGAGCGAGTTCGGGGTCGATTGGGCGAAGATCGGGCGCGAGACAAGTCACAAAGGAGGCCACACGGGCACACCCACAAATCACACGGCCGTGCAACTCATATTTCTGGCCGTGTGAGATTGTGCGAGAGCAAACACGGCCTGCCCTGACAACACACACGGCCGTGTGAAGGAGTGGCTTGGCCGTGCGAGTTTTGCCGAGAGCAAACACGGGCAGATGGAAGTCACACACGGCCGTGCCACTCTGGCCGTGTGAGAAGCCTGGAATTCGACTAAGTGATACGGTGCGTTTTGCCTCACACGGGCAACTGGGTAGGCCACACGGCCGTGTGGCCCTGCCCGTGTGAGTCGGGATTTCCTGGTTTTAAGCCAAATTCCGAACCAAAGAGGAGGAGAGCTGGGTTTTTGGATCCCAAACACCCAAGGGACGAACCAAAGAGAGAGAGGGCGATTTGAGGGCATTCTTGGAGTAGAGAAGGAGGATTTATTCGCCTTGGAAGCTTGAGGAACAAGCCCGGACTTGAAGACTGATCATCTGAAGATTCTTACTGCAGTCTCTCTCTTCTCTATGGAGTAACTTCCCTTCACTTAGGTTTTGAGGAACCCTAGCTATGTTTGTTTGATTGGATGATTGTATGAGTACTCTGACTTGATAATCTTGAGTTCATATTCAATCTATGCATGTTTTCATGATTCAATTCTGCTTTAGTCGAGATTATTGATTCTGCTTTGATCCTATGAGAGGGAATACCTGATTAGGTCAATAGAGCACCATAGATTGATAGTAGTGGATCGATTGCTTTAGTCAAGGGTTGATTCACTGCTTTGTATCGATTGAGAACCTCTTTCGATAGAGGGAGTCTAGTTCAGAACGCCTTGATCAGTTGTTCTAGAGAAGGATACGTCCCTCTAGGCAATTGACTCAAGAGGGCCTTGTTCCTTTAGTCGAGACTCAAGGTCTAGTCAAGGATTCTCCGCATTGTGAATGAAAGTGAAACAGGTTAGAGATCATCAATCATTAATCTGGCTAGTGGCTAGGGGGAATCATACCTAAGTGAGTTCCCAACCTGTAATTAGATTAACTTTAACTGTAGTTTGCTAGAGTAGTTTTAGTTCTTTCATCTTAATCTGATTTGCTAAATAATAAACTGAAGCTGAGTAATAGTAACTCTAGAGACCCGTGGATTCGATATTTATCACTTGAGCCACTATACTGCAGTCCCTTTCATTGGTTACACTTGGCCTTTGTTAGGTGTTGTGTTTTAGAGCAGTCAAGTTTTTGGCGCCGTTGCCGGGGACTTTCTAGAGTATTAGGAAAGGCAGAAGTTTGTTACTTTAGCGTTTTTCGTTTCTTTTCTTTTCCACCCTTGCTTTTCACTTGGGTGTTTTTGTTTTTATTGGTGCAGATCTGAATCATGGATCCTAATGGCTTCTCCAATCATTGGGGGTATCCACCACCATCTGGGTGGTATTACCCCGAGACTCCGTGGAGCAATCAAGGCGGAGAAGACTCCGTGGATCCTAACGGTTTCAGAAGTAGGCGGCCAAAACAACAAATATATATGAGGGTTTGTGGTGTGTGAAATAAATATTGACATAATTGACCTTTACAAAATTGTAACACTTGGATTAATATTATATCTAACGGTGGAAAACTTAATTAGCATGGTACTAATCCCTTAAGGGGTTAGCACCTAATCCCATTCCGGAAACCACGCGTAAGGAGAAAACACGAAAGCATGTGAAGGAACTAATCACTATGTCTGTAACTGTAACGGAGAAAATTCAAATTTTAGAGGAAATGTATAATGACCCCGATACACGTGTCTTGAATAAAATATACATACGTGAGTGATATCCCCAACCACTAGTACGCTCATAACCCACTAACAGATATTTGAGAAGAGAGGAATGACACACTCACAAAGGAAGTACTAATGTCAATTTGAACCCGTCCCGCGGATATTACATGACCTGAACTACGATGTGGCGGGCATTACTCGCCCAGTAGTAGCGTGGGGTGGGGCATGGGTATCTATTTCCGACCCGTCCTTCCCCACCTTGCCCGTTCTTGGCCTATTCTATCTCAATTTCTTACCAATGCAGTTAAAAGCGCGATTCTAGCTAGAAGTGGAAAATGGGTAAAATCGTAAAACGTAGAATCAAAGCGTAAAATCGTGAGTTTTTGACGCACCCTCTAAAATAGCTAAAATATGTTAAGTACTACATATAGTATGTAAGATGTGAGTGTGTAGATTTTAGATAAGTGGATAACTACATGAAATTCATAATTAAAATGTAATATCTAACACATAAACTAATTTGCGTAGACTCAAAAGTGGAGAAAACTCATAGCATCTTAATAATAAGCTCATAAACGTAGATCGTAACCCGTAAACGAGCTTGATAATCCAAATTCTCATAAGCTGGTTTGAGTTTGCATAATTACATACCATCAATTACCCATAAACTTTCAGAGTAACCCAGGTAAGAGCCACAGGTGAAGATTAAGGGAGAAGACTGATAGAAGGTCAGCGACTGTTGAGAATATCATTAGGTGTCTTTTCAACCTAATGTGAAGCCCCTATTTTGACACTAGTTGTAGAACGAGTGATGAATCATGCTTTCCTTTCTTAAGTTTTTGCTCATATGTCTCCAAAATTACATCATTTTGGGCCAATTAGCACATTTTTATGAGATGATCAAAATCATATAAAAACGCTTCAGAATCGCGATTTTACCCATATTTTTACCAGTTTTTGTGATTAAGCGAATTTAGGTAGAAATTGAAACGTTTTGGTGGCCTGGATACATAAAAACGTAAGTTTTTACATTTTAATGCGCGATTTTGACTGCACTGTTTCTTACAATATCTATTCATATTTTTTCTACTTTGATTTTTCTTCAACTAGTTAGACTCATTCTTTCAACTAGTTCGACTCAATTACCAATTCTATTATCACTATTTTTCATTCATAAAGTGTTTCCCCTTCGTTTTATCGTAAAAAGTAAATTTTGTGTATTTTTTTCAAATAACAGTGGATCGACCCGCCCTATTCTGTACCGTACGAGTATTACCCGCCCCGACCCACCATAACGTGAAACGAGACATAGGTATTGATTATTGAGGTACCCGCCTGTCCCATTGCCATCACTAAAGGAAAGCCTAGAAGAACCGCAATGCAAACCCGAAGAGAGTAAGGATTTGTGGTAGACGATCAATCCATCATCATAGATCCGAGAGATCTGCCCATTTCTGAACATATTTTGCCCACACAAAAATGGGCTTAAAGTTATAACAGATATAGGCCCAAGCAAGACCTTCTTCGTGGGTGGACAAGATTTTGGGCCGTTGCATTTAAACAAAACGAGTAGGTGTCCTGTCACTGTCAGTCTGCAAACGATGATATAAAATTCAAATTCCAATTTAGCCAAAACGACACCCCGGAAATCTCAATTCTGCGCGCTCTCCTTCCTTCAACCTCCAATCCACTCCACTAGCTTCCCTTGGAAGTCTCGAGAGTTTCAAGTAAGAGAGTAACAGAAACTACCCAACTCCCTCTCTGTCTCACTCTCTTTAGTTTCTGGTCTCTCCTCCCTTACTGAAGTCTCAATTGGAGTCGAGATTTCTGATACAGTCTATTTCCCGGCGCCCTTCGGTGAAACAGAATAATGAGAAGAACAACCAGACGATCGATTGCCGTTGCTCCTCTTGCCGAAGAAGATGTTCGAAACTCGGTAAATCTCTTCCGCCTTTGCTGTCCTCTTCCTGTAGCTAGCTTTGGAATTCAATGATTCAATCTTCTGGCCGAAATCTAGTGTAATTAAAAAGAATGGTCCCTATGTTTACTAGCGTAGGCTTAGATGTGCTTTCGAGGAAGACAGATTAGCTGTAGAGAAGTTACAGAGCATTCGTTCGTTTCGCCTGCCAATCAGGGAGGTTTATATTTTTCTATGGTTACGTTTTCTTCCTCGAATTCGGGTTCATGACGCAAGATTAGAAGAGTACTCGCTATTTAGAGAGTTCAGTGTATTGTGGGTTTACTGTGTGTAATTGGGTATTTTTTTGTGGTTGGTGAAACTAATGTAGGTTACAAGCTTCAGCACTAAATTCTCCTTGCCCACGTTTGTCAAGAGAGTAGGGAAGCTTACAGAAGATCAGATAAGTTTGATTAAAAAGACGGGTTTCGGTAACCTCTTGTTGTTGCCCAACCACATTGTGAGCAAAACCTTGCTGGTTGAATTGATGGATAGGTGGGATCAGGAAAAGCTTGGTTTTCAAATAGGTTCTGGGACAATGTCGATTACTCTAATGGATGTAGCCTTGATACTGGGTTTACCTGTGGTTGGGGATCCTGTTATTCTGAAGGATGATGAGCCATTTTCAGAATTAGAAATGGAGTTTGCTGCCAGTTCGAAGAGAAAGATCAGTATTTCGTCACTCGAGAGTCGTCTTGATTCGCTAGACAAGACCTGCAATGAAGATTTTGTACGGACCTTTTTGCTGTATACGATGGGGATATTGCTTTTCCCTAACTCAAGCGGCAATGTAGATTCTAGGTATTTATCTTTCTTGCAAGAATTGGATGACGTGTGTGACATAGCTTGGGGGGCTGCTGTTCTGGAAGATATGCTTGTATGGTTGAAGAAAAGAAAAGAAACAGGCACTCAATCTATGGGAGGCTGCCTGATATTTCTCCAAGTGAGTTTTTTATTGACCTATATCTCGTTCCATATCGTTGATTAATTGCTATGTTAAGTGAAAGTAGGAAGAAAGAAAATGGCTTTACCAACCACAGGCATAGTTACTTCCACTCATCTTTTCTCCCGTCGCAGGTATGGTCTTATGAGCACATTGACATAGCTCGGCCGAATCTCTTAGATACTGATATGACATTTCCCAGAGTGTGTCGATGGCAGATTAGCAAATCACATCAAAAGCAGTGGTTTGCTAACAAGTTTACGGAACTTGAAGACCATCAGGTTGGTTCACTTTGATATTGTACTCGGCCTATGTTTCTTTATCCTTTTTATTAACACTTGAACTGTGTATATTTTTCTTTTGGAGTATATGATAACTCGTTTGTTGAATATTAAAAACCATAGTGTTGTTATGCCAGGTAGTTTGGGAGCTAGAGCCAACTCCTGAAGAACAAACTCAGATTATAGTCAGGGATTTGCTGCGAATACAGAATGGTGACTATGAGCTGCTACCAGAGCAACAGAGTTATGTGCCTAATGTGAGTTCTTGCTCCTGATCGGGGGGATCCAATTGAAGCCAGTAAAATCAAGTATCTAACTTGGGTTATTTTCTATGTTCCCATTCTATTTCTACCTAGACGCCCGAGGCGGAAGTACTTATAGATTCTAGAGAAGAACTAGAAATGGAGAGTCGTAATATGGAAGAGCTGCAAGCATCCACGTCTAGTTCTGAGTCCGACGATCATCAGAAACATCCTACCCTGATGTTAGCATCAGATGAATCTCACATGAAATCTCCTAATGCAGATAAGAATGTAAGTTTAAGTTTCTTTGCATTTTATCACGAATCCTGTCTTTTAAACGACAAGAGTTAAATCTTCTCTTGTTTCCCCCCCTACTTCCATAAGGTGGCAGAAGCTATTGAGAACCTTTCAAGCACAACTATGGCGAGCAAGAGAGACGAACAACAAAGTGTTGATATGGGAAATCAGGAGGATACAGGTTCAAACTCGAAGTCAATGCAGGTTAAAACACAATCATGAACGCCGTCTCCCTTCTTTCCTTCTTGTTTATATCTTGCAAGGATTCACTAAACGGTGAAGTGGGAATACAGGAGGAAGTGTGGAGGAGAAGCAGCAGAAGTTTAAGAGAGGAGAACACCAAGCTGCAAGAGGAGATTGCTGCTTTAAGAGAAACGGTTATACCAGTTCTTCAAGAGGAGAATGCAACGTTAAGAGAAAGAGTTACAGTGATACCAGTTCTTGAAGAGGAGATTGCACGGCTAAAGGATCAAGTAGAAAGTTTGATCCGAGAGGATCAAATGCATCGCTTTCTGGCCGAGGAGTTTGACTATCGGATGTCAGCGATTCTGTTGGAGGACGACGACGAGAAGGACACACCTCAAATATAGATTGCCTGGACTTAAACTCGAAAGTGGAACACATTCGCACAGTGAATCAAACTTCACTCAGCCTATTAATTAGGTATGTAATGTAGTAGTTTATGTGTTTGTAGTTGTACAGAATGATTTTTCACTCTCGCACTTGCGTAAATTTATTACTGTTGTTTTTACTCTTTTCCGAGTTGTTCACTGTAAAATATATAGCCGCCCATCCAGACATGTGGGGATGAATAATCAATGTCTGGAATGCGGGGAAATTTCTTTTATGACCTTGAGAACTACAAGTGTGGTCACCATGCCTTGTTCAGTTTCAGTTTCGATCCATGGAGCATGGTACATCTTGTAATGTTTGGCTGAGATGGGCGTGGCATGGGCTACAGTTCAGCCAGACAGCTATTTGATCTGGTTCCCATTCCATGCTCGGCATTTGGGGTGAGCAACGATTCAATCCGTACGATAGAATATATTTTGATTTGGTTTTGGTTTTGGTTTTACGAATGATTTTAAGTATGGAGAAAAAATAGATCGAAATTAAATTGGGATCGAATCAAATAAACCAAACGTACTTTTAGTCTGGTTTAAGTCATCATTTTTTTTTTTTAGTTTATGGTTCAATCCTATTTCAATTCGATCGGTTATGGATCATATCGATTTATGCCCACTCCTAGTCGGCATCGCATTTACAATTTTAGGACGGAGTGCACTGCAGAGATGTGTGTGGGAGCGGGAGATGTCCTCTCTGGCTATTGTGGATTATTAGGTGAAGTCCGTATGGGAGTAGGATACCATGTCATTAATAATGCTGTAAGGCCCATTGAATGCCTTATCGCAGGGATGGCATTGTTTTAATTTTGTGAATTGGCTGCTATGAGAGTAGCTAGGAATATTTTGAATGAGTACGTTTTTGCTATATGCTTTGAAGGTTTGGATGAAATCATGATTTTTTCTAATTCATATACGTAGGTTTGTTTTTCATTATAAGGTGTCGTTTGAGGGATTCGAATATGTGATCTTTGAATTTAAAGTTGATAGTAGTACTACTAAACCAAATTATTGTTAGTTGAAATCATAGGGTTTGTGTAACTATATTTTCAAAAATCAAATATTGATCGATATGATACATAACTAATTGTCGTTAAGAAAACTTGCTAACGGATTGTGATTGAATAGTCAGATATGGAGTTTCTATATATTGGTATGGGCCATGGGGTAAGATCGATCTTACTTTTAGGCTTTTTATTTGTTCGTAGGGGTTGCTTAGCTGGCAGTGATACACAATATTTCGTAAGATCACACGGCCATTAACATGGAGATTAAGCTGATACGATTCTAGCTAGCATTAGTAACTCGTACGGTCGTATATAGCTTGGAGGCAAACTTCCATAGATTAACTAAACTGGGTAAGACAGTTACAGCAGGAAACAGAGCAACACCATTACAATCTTAGACAACGCTACATACCATAGTACGTAAGAAAGAGCAACACAAAAAGACTAAAAACACAAGACTGACAGTAGACAACTTCTGGCAACCAAAGTCTCTCTCTCTCTCTCTCTCTCTCTCTCTGTTATTTCATCAACAGAAAACACATAACTATAACACCCTGCTGCTGGCTGCTGCTACTCTCTGTCTCTCTCCCCCGCCATTATCTTCCATACGTCTACCTGACCCTGCAACAGAGAAAACAGAACCATTACTACATAAACGTATAAACGATTTATAACTACTGATTCATTCATTCATTACTACACACAGTGACATATATAAATAAATACCGGGAGCAGTCAATGGAAGGGTCGATCTTGAAGGGCAGGTTGACGCCACAGCTGGCAGGGAGCGAGGTGGCAAGGCGGAGGCTGTAAGGGCTGATGTTGATCCCACGGAGATTAGAGACGAGGCAGCTGCAAATCGCCTGGCGGTCTGGGGTGGTGGTGGCCGCATTTCTAAGGGCCACGATCCCGTTGCAGCAGCTCCCCGGGATGTTCCCACCGTACTGGACGTAGGTCAGGCAAGGGTACAGCGCGTTGATCACCTGCCCACAGCTCACTGCCGCCGTCGCACCTCTACTCATCGTCAAAGTCACGGCCAAGGCCAGCATCACCGCCACCAAGGCAGAGGAAGCAGTAGAGCTCGCCATTTGGGGTTAGTTGATTGGAAGGTGAGCGGAGAAGTTGGAAATGGAGACTAGTAGTGGAGGAGTGTGGAGTGATTGGTGAAGTGGGTCGAGGGTGGATTTTATAGAGGGAAAGGGCATTAACTTTTTTTATGGATGGGTAGTTGGGGATGTGGTTACGTTTGAATGTGATTAGGTAGAGCGACGTTAAATGCTCTAGTTGGCTGTAGATTTTGCCTAGTTATATATAGGAATAGGATACATATATAGTAGTATTTACACCGGCGTGTGAAAAAGGGTGTCCTTTTGTGTATTCCCGACACTGTTGGAGTTTTGATGTGATTGGTCATGTAACTGTTAATTTTTTTTACCCTATAGTCAGACAGAAATGGAACTAGATGCAAGAGCTTTTCGTTTGACCCCAACAGGAGAAGAGAGCAATAACTTTGGCGGGGTATTGGATCGGAACTCTACGTAAATCATAACTAGTCACGTGCCCGGCCGGTTGGCCAGATTCATTTATAAATCAGATCAGATTGTGGTCGAATGAATTTTTTAAAAACTTTGAACTCTCCCGTGGATTTGTCTCGATCATAAAATTGGAGATACCACGTAAAAGATTGTGTCTCGGTCTCAATACTTGCTTATTTTTCTCATGGTATCAGAGCAACAGGTTAAGCAATAACGTTGTCTTCCCGCGATCATGGTGAACCCGACACCCCCATGAGGTTTAATTCCCTTTGAGTATGAATAACCGAGAACATCACCTTCACCGTTGGGCAAATTGAAGGCTAGTTCCTCCACTTCCATGTCTTTCTCCCCTACCTCGAAAATCTCTACTTTCATTTGAGCAGCATCTTTGGCCGCCTGTAGTCTAGCTGCTCTCCTAATCACTCCATTTTCTCCCTTTCCTTGCAACAGGTTTAGCTCTCATTTCATTCATTCAAAAAAAAAAAAAAAAGCATAGTACCAAAACCATTACGAAATGAAGAGGGAAGAAAATAGTTTAACCTGTTGGCAAGTAAGCCAGCCACTTACCTCGAAATCAAGATATCGTGGAGAAGCTACATGTGGGAAGAATCATCTACTTAAGGAAAGCAGATTGGAAAGCTCGTTTCTACGAAGCACTCAAGGAAGGAATTCAAAGAAGGAGACCTACCTTATTGGTGAACAACGGTTAGCTGTATGGAGTATTAATAAGCTCAATCAAGCGGAAGGGAAGACTCACTTCATGGGAGATCAATACACACGAGAGAGGCTAAGGAAATTGCAAGTGTGATTGATAGTGAAGAGATTGCTCTGACATTGATCTTGGAGTGAGACAGTGTTAGAGTGGTAGAGTGTTGGAGAACACGGAAACTGGATAGCTTGGATAGTGATAGTTGGAGCGTGGAAGATAGAATAACCAGCCTGGATTGGACTGGTTAATCTAGTGAGTGTAAAGCCATCATCGAACCAAGAAGCATCATACCTAGTGAATCGTTGGAAATCACAAATCGTGATCTTCCAACCGTGGAATAGTCAGTATTGGGTTATTCATTCGCCCAATACTGGAAACCACGTAAAAAATTGAGTCGGTGTTCTTTAATTCTGCACATTAGTATTTGCTCTTGTGGGTGTACTCTGTTTTGCTTGGGTCAAACTCTGTTTTGCAGGATTCAGGATACAACCTGCGCAGGGGATCAGCTCGGAGGGAAGAAAGAAGAAGCTGGGAAGTTGAGTTCAGTCAAAGCGCACCGTTTTGGTCTGGTTAGTACGTGGACAGGCCGGGTAACGTGAGTGGGCCTGACGAACCGAGCCCAATACATAAGTTCTACACCGTAGAACAATAACAAACATTCTTCCTACTGCTAATCGAACAAGTCTCGATCAAATTCTCTTCTCCTTTCTTCTCACTTGGTCTCCCAAAAAGGTAGATTAGGGTTTTTCAGGAACACAGTTTAGCAAGGAAAGGAACCGGGCTTCTCGCGCTCGAAGCTCTCAACACGTGGTATCAGAGCCCCGTTACCAGTCAAGAAAGGGCTTAACAACCTCTGGTAGATCCAAGGATGGCGTCCGGGTCAACCAACAACGCACCGCTGTACCTCGCCGATGGATTCTCTCAGAATCGACCACCGAGATTCGAAGGCGTAAATTACGGGTATTGGAGAAATCGCATGGAGTTGTTTGTCGGATCCACAGATCCCAAATTATGGGCCAGAGTGATCAAGGGTCCTCATGAACTCAAGGATGATCAAGAGAAATGGTCAGAAGAAGATTTTGAGAAGTTCCAGCAAAACTGTAAGGCGACCAATTTGATGTATTGCGCGCTGGGACCAGAGGAGTACCACAAGGTGGCTGGTTGCAAGACGGCCAAAGAAATATGGGACAAGCTGCAAGTGACATATGAAGGTACTTCCCAGGTTAAAACCTCTCGTATAAATTCGTTGAAACACCAGTTTGAATTATTCAAGATGGAAGAGGGAGAGTCGATCAGGCAGATGTATGAAAGATTCACCAATATCGTAAACAGCCTGGAGAATTTAGGAAAATCATATGAAAGTGGTGATTTGGTGAGAAAAATCTTATGGAGTTTGCCTGAGAAGTGGACTCCTAAAGTAACCGCTATAGAAGAAGCAAAGAACCTTGAGACATTAGCCATAGATGAATTGATTGGATCATTGACTACACATGAAGAGAAATTGGTTAAGACAGGGCATGAAAAGGAGGTTGGAGAGAAGGGAAAAAGAGGAGTGGCATTCAAAGCCATTAGTTCTGTTGAGGAACCAGAAGAACTCGATGAAATGGAAGATGAAGAACTTGCCCTGTTAAGCAAACAGATAAGCAGATTAATTAGAATCAGAAGAGAAAAGAAACAAGGTGGGTATGGAAATAAGTCAAAGGAATTTGATAAGAATGATGGTATGGGAAGAGGTGCACATGGGAAAATCTTCACAAGGAATCGAAATGAGCCGAGTTCAGCACCAAAGGGGGTAAGCTCAGCTGGCTGCTTCAAGTGTGGCAGAATGGGGCACATTAAGGCTGAGTGTCCTCAGTTGAAAAAGGAGAGAGCTCTAGCAGCCACTTGGAGCTGTAGTGAAGATGAAGACGAAGATGATGATGAGGTAACCATTCACCGGTCATACATGGCTGTTGCCCAAATAGAGGAAGAAGATGAAGACTCTGCAACACCAGTATCCTTGTCTCAGGTAAGATCTACTAAACTAGAACAAGTATTCAATTCTGAAGATGATATGCTATTTGAAATCATTAATGACATTCAAATAGAATTTGAAAATGTTAAAAACAAATATAGTAAATTAAAGAAAGAAAACGAGGCTAATCTCAAAAGGTTAACCGAATTAGAAAAGGAATTAGAATTGAGTAAACTTAGAGAAACTTCACTAAATAACAGTTTTTTACAATTAAAGAAAGAAAAGGAAGAACTTCAATATGAATGTGCTAAGGTTAGAAGGAACTCACATGGAAGCAAGGAATATCTTAAAACTCAGAAAGGGATTGATAGAAATCGAAATTTGGTAGAATGCTACTACTGCCACTTGTATGGTCACAAAATCAAGGATTGTAAAAAGAGACTAAGGTCAGAAGCTGTGAAAAACATGAATGCATCCTGGTCTCGTTATTCAACCAAACAAGTTTGGGTAGTCAAATCCAAGATTGAAAGAGAGAATAGTGTAGGACCTGAAAGCAGTCATGTTAACCATTATTCAGAAACCACAAATGCACCCAAGAAGATCTGGGTTTGCAAAACAAAATGAATTCTGTGCCTGCAGAGTTGCCTTCAAGTGAGCACGGAGGTAACCAAATGGATCATGGACAGTGGGTGCTCACACCATATGACAGGTAATAAACTTCTTTTCTCAACCCTTAAACTAGGAAATTTTGGAAAAGTTTATTTTGGTGATAACAACTCTGCTGAAATTGTGGGTAAAGGTCAAGTGGGGATTAGTCCCTGTATAAGAAATGTTATGCTAGTGGAAGGGTTAAAACATAATCTAATCTCCATAAGTCAGATGTGTGGAAAGGATAATCGTGTAATTTTTGAGTCAACCTGTTGCTATGTGGAAAATGTTAAAAGCAAACAAATCTTATTCACTGGGAAGAGGAGTGGAAAATTTTACACTATTGACCTAAATGACAAGAGTAGTTTTAATGAATTATGCTTAGTTAGCATGGAATCTAATGAACAGCAGGAGTGGCATAGAAGGTTAGGCCATGTCAATGTTGCAGTTCTATCCAAACTAGTCAGGTTAAATCTAGTTAAAGGCTTACCACGAATCAATGAGAAGAAGAACTTCTTCTGTGATGCGTGTGCTCAAGGAAAACAAACCAAATCTAGTTTTAAAAGTAAACCAGTCATATCCACCTCCAGGATTTTAGAACTACTGCATCTTGACTTATTTGGTCCTGCAAACGTGATCAGTTATGGTGGAAAATCTTATGCATTTGTCATTGTTGATGATTACTCAAGATTCACATGGGTACTTTTCTTGGCTAAGAAAGATGAGGCATTGGAAAATTTCAAAACATTTATTAAAAAGGTTGAAAATGAGAAATTAAGTAAAATTGCCAGTATTAGAAGTGATCATGGAGGGGAATTATGTTCAGATTTGTTTGAACAACTTTGTAATGACTCAGGAATCTCACATAACTTTTCTGCTCCTAGAACTCCTCAGCAAAATGGAGTAGTGGAAAGAAAGAATAGAACGTTAATTAACATTGCACGCGCTATGCTACATGACTACAACCTGCCTAAGTACTTTTGGGCTGAGGCAGTTAATACAGCGTGTTATATAACTAATCGAGCTCTAATCAGGACAACTTTGAACAAAACTCCTTATGAGATATGGAGAGGTAGAAAGCCTAACCTAGGGTACTTTCACCCTTTTGGCTGTAAATGCTATGCCTTGAACACCAAGGATAACCTAGGAAAATTCGATGCAAGATCTGATGAGTCAGTATTCCTAGGATACTCGAATTCGAGTAAAGCATACAAGATTTTTAACAAGCGGACCCTCAAGGTTGAGGAGTCCGCCAACGTGATATTTGATGAGGGTGTTATTGAGTGTGCAGATATACTAGACGATGATGATTTTGGGCTTGGAACAAGAATCATGCAGAATAAGTTAGGATCAACAGAAGCACCTCAAGCCAAGAACTTGGATGAATCTTCCTCAAATGGGAAGGAAGTATCAGTCTCGGACAAGTTAAAAGA